CACACACACACACACAAACACACACACACACACAGACCCACACACAAACACACACGTTTGTAAGTGGGTAGTCGGCGGATGCTACGCCGGGATGCCAAATGTCCGGGTTTTTTCTGTTTTTTTCCGGTTTTTTCACCATTTGGAATTGCAAAGGAAAGGGGAGAGGTAAGAGAGAATATGTTTTTGTTTGCTCATTTAAAAGCTTTACAAGGTTCGGTTTACGTGAGATGCGATGGGGCTCCAGTGGCTAAGTGAGTAGTGAGTTTAGACTCAAACAATGTCAAGCAAGTGTCGGTGACACGGGGATCAGATGGGTGGTCACTGGAGTGTGTCCTTGAGCAAGACACGACAACCCTAGCTCAAAATACAGGGCGCTGCACACTGGCGACCGACACTGGCATTATTTGTAAACTGTTCTGTATTTGTGTAATCGTGTGTATTTATGTATGTATTTATGCATGTATGTATTTATGTATGTACGTATTTATAATCCTGTATTTATGTATGTATGTATGTTTGCCATTGTAAAACAAAGTGCCCTTTATGGACAAATAAAAGTGTGATTTATATTATATTATTATATGCTCCGCTCATTTCAGGGTTTTTTTTTTCAAAAATCGTTTGGCCTTCCTGGCTATGACACTTGCATGACATGACTTGTGAGCCTGAGCTCAACCACTCGATCACTGGAATTATAACTCCCAAAGACCCATATTGTGGAACAGAAAAGATTTTAGAAAAAATCTATCCAACATATTTTGTTTGTTTGTTTGTTTTTGTAAAGTGTTTTACGGCACTCGCAACAGCATAAGGACATATGAGCGCGCGGGACACACCTAATATTTTCAGTTGGGAGGAAATTTTGAATTTTGCCCTGGGGGCGGCCGAAACCTACTCTTATCAATTTTAGACCACCAAGGGATCTTTAACGTGCGCAACTTGCACACAGGCCCTCCGAGATTTTTCGCCCTTGTCCGAGAAGGCTAGGTGTAGATCTTTCCTACAAGAAGATCAGGGGTGTGGCTGAAAGACAGCAGTAAGAAGAAGCGAAAGAGTAGCAGTAGAAAGGCTGCAGAAAGAATCAGGAGCCCAGAGGAAGGGGCAAATGAGGTGAAGGGATGGGGGCAGAAAGAGGAGACGAAAGCAGACGACAGAACATTGCTAGAGATCAGGAAAAGAGGTGAGAGGAGACAAATTTAGAGAAGAACATGTTTCGGTCGCTACCCGGATTCGAACCCGGGACTTTTGAATGAGAGGCCAACACCTAAACCTCTAGGCCACGAGAGCCCCCACATATTTTGTGTCTTACTGGGTGTTACTCTCAGTGTGTTACGTCCTTATCGGCACCATGTAGATCATTTATTAGACGGCTACTCCGGTCCCGACTGTTAAGACCAACTCGGGCTGAGTGGGATAAAACTGTCCCCGTGGTTTTATGCATCCCGCATAATTTAGCAAAATTTGATCATTTTTTGCATAATTTCTGATTATTTTCTTTTATCATTCTTTATTAAAAATTATCAGAATCGCATAATTTCACTTTTTTGGGGGGCGCAGTTTGCATAATTTTAGAATGTTTCTAGCATAAAACGACGGGGACGGAAGAGTGTGAGAAGCTTATTTACTTAATCTCTCCCTTTACCGTCAGATACATAGGGCGGAGAGCAGTTGACGCCACATCTGTCTGACCGCGGCCACTTTCTCCAATGTTGGCACATCTAGGCCCTGGGCGATTGCCTCATCTCTTATTGTGCCTCTGTAGCTTCGAGTTGGTCTTCCCCGCTTTCTCTTCCCAGTTGGTTTTCAATACCACGTCTGAGAGTGCAATCTTGTCTTCGGCATTCTCAGAACATGTCCCGGATATCTCCATCTCTTCTTTTTTTATTGTTGTGTTGATGTCTTCAATTCCAACTCTTTCCAATACTTCATTATTTGTAATACATTTATTCCATTTTATTAGCAAAGTTCTTCGTAGACATTTTGTTTGAAAGCTTTTTAATTTTTGTTGAATTATTTGGGGGG